CAGCTTCTGGGCAGACACTGTGCTCACGGGCCCTCACATGCTTTTGAACTGCGCGCGAACTGAGGCTTCTCCACTCTGCACCAGAGCTCTTGGAGGTTCACGATGTGGATCGGCGGACGCCGCTGCTTGCAGCGTGCGCGGCAGGTTCCAGCTCTAACTTGATTCATCTTGGTTCTGCACTCGACACAGAAGTGCGTCACAGCTCGCACGTGCATTGTACGGGTTTGTGATTTTGCATGCGTTTTGGCCTTCATGATTGAACATCTTCGAGTTACATGTTCTGACATCCTGCTGTCGGCCTTCGTCAGCTCGAAGTGAGCTCAGGCAGTTTAGAACCGTAGCACATGACACTAAAGGGTCCGCTCGCCGCGTTCAAAGAGCGGAAGCATGACTTATCCAAATCTCATGGAACCCCAAGCTTGAGTGAGCACCGTGAACACCCTTCTTGGGCAGTACCTACCTGCACGGCGTGGTTCGCTACTTTTGATTCTTTTCTCATTGTGGGTGACTTGGTGCGTGCTTCACCGTAGCTTCTTTCGAGCTCCTTCCACCGTGCTTGGTGTGTGTGTGTGTGGAAAAACCCTCCAGGCTCGCAGGAGCTGGTCCGACTACTGTTGGAAGCCGGTGCAGATCCGCTGGTCGCGGCCTGGAATCGTGTTTGGCTAGTCGAGCTCATGCGTTGGGCAGCTTTGCAGAGTTTGGGACGTGTTCGTGACATTTGCAGAACCTTTCGCTTCATTTTCCAAACCTGAGCCGATGCCAAGGCCTGTGATGCAGATGGCTGTGGCGTAGCGCTTTTAGCTGCGTCTGCAGGACTTGAGTGGGGTAGGATGTGCTTGCAAGCAGCAATATATCGAAAACCCCGCAAGATTTTCGCCCAGAAAGAGTAGAGCTACTTGAGCTTGCAGTGGCTTCCGCAGCGAGGAGATCCAGAGCTGCTTGCGTGGTTTCTCGGTCAAGGCTGGACGAGTCCGATCCTTTCTACTCGACCGGACGATGTCATAGAGCACTGTTAGCTCTGGTGGTACGTCAGGCTTATAGAGTGCAGAAGGATGCAGAAGGGACGGGTTGTGTGGTTGGGCTTTGGAGGGTGTTTGGACATGTAAGGTCGTTTAGCTTGCAGTGTGAGTTGGCTTGGACTGCACAGCCTTGTGAGGATTGGTTGACTTGACTGAGACTGCAAGCGATGGCAGTCTAATCCCCAGTTTAATCCCCAGTTCAGTGATCGGCGTGCGAGTGAGTCAAACTTCGCTTTGACAAGTGTAAGCCTTCCCAGGTACCGCCTTGCTTTGTGCGGCGAGCAATGAGGCAAGTGTAGCAATCCCATATTTGGTTAGCCGACCATGTATGATACTCGTACGGTGACATGCTTGCTGGTTGCTCTTGTCATCCACAGCAACTTTCTGTCAGATTGGCACACTGGCATGTAACCTGCCAAAGAGCTGGGCAGGGAGTGTAGAGCTTCCCCGAATGTCTAATTTGGCAGTAGCAGCTCATCATATTTGGATTTCCTGCTTCAGCATTTTTGCGCGGCAAAGATTTTTAGTTTCTTGCAACAGGCGGGAGCTGTGCAGATGCTGCACTATTTGCTGGATGGCCCTCCAGGCTCGGAGAAAGTTTCGCCGAGTAACGGCGCGAATAAGTCTCGAGCACTAGAGCCGTCACAGGAGCGAGAGACAACCCCAGTACTTGTAGGGCTGCAGACCACACTGTATGTATGCACACCGCACACCATAGTTCACTTCGCATAATTTGCGCCAACAGATTGTAGAAATGTTTTACTATAGGCTTTCCGCAGCTTCTCGTCACAGTTTGATTTTCACGTCGGCTAGCACTGGCTGGTCTCCCGTGGTGGGTGGTGTGAGCCTGCGTCGCTCGCTGCTTTTGCTATGCTGTGGTTGGCCGGGTTGTACCACGATGACTGTGCCGCCTTGGGAAGGCTTCAGTGTGCCAGCTTGAATCATGCTGGGAGGGAGTTGTTGCATCGGAGAAGCGCTCATGCCGTTGCATTGGGTGTTCGGGCTCCCGAAGGGGCACCGAAGGGAGCACCAAACTCCAACACAGATGAGTGATGCGGGCCGAATGCATTTGCTAGGTACGCAGTGTGCTATGCTTCTGAAGGGATTGTGCATGATTAAAAGCATATGAGCCTGCATCTAGTAGGCGTATTAGTCGTGGCGGTGTCGAAGTAGTACTACTTGTAAAACAGATTGAAGGGGGTTGACTCGTCCGTGACCATGAGGGGGACTCGTTCGGGACTACGGGTTCAATATTTACTATTCATTATGCACATTGTTGCTTTTCATTTTTTCTGGGGGGGAGGCCTGCCCCACAAGAATTTTTTGTTAGACATGAGTCAAAATCGAAGTAGAAGTAGAAGTGTATGCAGTGGTAGAAGTCGAATGTGAAGTTCTTGGAAAGCCTTCTCTGAAGTTGTCTATTCCCGTTCCTTGTCACTGTTGGGGGAGGCGCCTTGGCCGTGCCATCGCTGGAGGACCTCGTGTGACTAGTGGCGACATGCGGCGACCCTCGCCTAGTCGTAACGTGCAGGAGCAAGACGAACGTGGTGCCAATGCGCTGCTCGTGGCCGCTGAGGCAGAAAGCATGTTCAACGTGCGATTTGCTGACTGGCTGGCCTCTTCCCTTGTGTCTTTGGTGCCGCTGTCAGGCAGGCGCGGTGAATGCAGCGCGTGCGCTTCTGGCACGTGGGGCGCAGCCGCAGAGTTGCGATGCTCGAGGCTCTTGTGCGCTGCTCGGCTTGTGGACCGGGTCTTCGAGGGGATGGGGGCAAGAACGTAGCAACAAAAAAGCAGTGGACTCTGGCGATTGGGAGTCTCATGGAGTGACAAGTGAGCCATTGAGCGGCCAGTTGCACCTGCCCCATCTCCTGAACAGGAGATGTTTTTGCATTGCGCTCACCATCCTCCCTCTACAAGGGCATCAAGGATACTCAGAAAGTATTTCCGACTCGGTCACGTGCATCCAGGCTGCACTACGCAGCTGCTGGTGGGTCCTGTAGCATGATGGACTTCTGCGTGACGGCGTGACGCTCTCAAGGGGAACTGTCTTTGATTCGCGGTTGTGCTGTTTTCAGTCAGAACTCAAGACCGGTCACCCCAAGACTTGTGCGCAAGGTTGAAAATCCCAGTTGATGCCATGGGCCGAGTAGCACTCAGAGATGATTCTAGGAGCTGCTTCGAGTAATTGTGTTCAATTCGATGCACGAGCACAGTCTGTTTGCTTCATGATGCGTCTCGAGGTCCTTGACAGAGACGGCGACACGCCGCTCATGATTGCAGCTCACGAAGGTAATGTGGAGGCCGAGCTCCGATGCTTACTGGTAGGCTGTTGTATGAGCGCATGGCTTGTAGATGGGCGCTGTGCAGTTCGTGTATCTTGACAACTGGCATGAGTTTGAATGGCGCATGGATCTGAAAGCTCCTGTTCACGCCAGCAGCTGCCTTTCAGTGTTCCAGGTTGTCATCTTGCAGGTCCATGATTGCATGTGGAAGTGCCCGACGCATAAGTTCACACAGGAAGTAATGTAGGCTTTCGAATCACATATGGAGTAAGACGTTCGACACTGCCTGGGTCCACGGTTAGCTGCGGAGGATGCACGGCGAAGCTAGTGATGCAGGGTCCTTGCAGTCACGCAGGCAGTACGCTGGCTCTTGCGTGCGGGTGCCTCACTCGAGCTTCGCAATGCAGAAGGTGCCTGCTCACGTAAACAGAGCTGCGTACTTGATTCTGCTTGTTGTGCACAGTAGCCAACAGTGTGTTTGCAGTGTAAGTGATGCGGCCTCATGGATGGACCCGAACCTTGTTAGTGGACAGGGATGTCGCCTCTGCTGGCAGCAGCTGCTGGCGAGCAGACTGAGGTGCGTTGCTTGGCTTGGCGAGCATGGTGTCAGGTCTGTATTCAAAAAACTGCGCCCAAGTGCGGGCAGCGCCGATGGCAGCCCTGGAGACCTGCAGCCAGGGATTCGTTGTGAAAATGCTTTTGTCGGGGTGGGTGTGGATCATGTTGGGGCATGGAAGGGTTCAAGCTCCAACAGCCTCACAATGTTTTCGACCTTGAAGGGAGTCGGGGCAACGCGGCAACGCGGCGGCGATGGGGTCCGCCGCATTGGTAAGCCAAACTTGCGCTAAGTTACCGCCTTCACAGGGCAGCTGAGCGGAGAAGCGTGCGGGGAATGCGAGGAGGTCAAATGGGCCAAAATCACAGGGAAGGTAGTTGTGGGAGACGCGGTGGGGAGGTGGGCAGCGGAAAAGATATTACCAACGGCTTCACTTGCACCGACCCCCAAAGGGGAGTTCGCCGGATCACAGCTTGCACCTTTGCTCTGATTACTCAGCTTCAGTTCTTCACGACTTCTTTCACCACTTAGTGCTGTCGGACTTTGTAGAGGTCTTGTCGCTGATGTCCCAAGTTGCCGGAGAGGCAAGGATTCACCGCTGGGCAGCAGTGAGTGTCCTTGTGGAAGCATCGCAGGATGCAGACCCCCGTCTGGTTGATTGATTCTTCCTTTTGGTTACGGCTTTGATTTTCATTGGCAGAGATGTAACAGCGAGAATGCCATGCATGGCCATGCTGACAGTGCAGTCCGAGCAGGCATTTGCGACCTTGTGGCTCCAAGATGCGCAGCAGCACCCGCAGCTCATGCATCTTGGTTCTTTTGATGAAGCTGTAGACCCCAGAAAGCACCGTCATTTCTTTACCGAGGTTGAACTTCTTGGAGAGCGGCCTCTGAGACATAGATGGGCTTAAGATGGGTCTACCTAGGCTTAGATGCCGAGGAGTCTGCAAGATCAGCTGAGCGATGGGCAGCGGTGGAACAAGAGCAGAAGCTTCTTTCATGCCAGGGTAACATTTGCAATCCAACTGTTTTGGACTGTGGTGGACACTGAAGAAAATACAGCCAAGCCGTATGTGCGCCCCATGAAGTTCTCTCAAGTCACGTTTGGACTGAGAGACTGGGTTCTAGACCTCACCCGCCACAATGCAGGCAGGCAGCTCAGTCAAGTGGTTCCATGTGCGCTGAGGAGATAGTTGCTGAAAGAGTGTGTTCAGGAAACAGACTTGTTTAGCAAAATCGCTTCAAGCAAGCTGCTTGACTCAGCTTGACGCAACAAATTTCGCTTTCTTGCACGCAAGGTTATTAGCGCAATGATCGTTGCTCCGCTGATGGCGTGGACCTTTGGTTCAGACAGCTCTCTGCATGGCGTGATTTGTAAATGGCGGACAGGTAGCAGAAAGGTCGCTGAGAGCTCATCTTAGAGGCAGGTGAGGCATTGCCCTGCTGCAGGCATTCTTTCTTGCCTCAGCAGAAGCCGAACAGGCTCGAGGGTCCGGAAAACATTGAGTAAGGAAAGCTTGTCAAGGGCAGGGCATCGTAGCCACAGAGCGGCAGCCAACTGTTCACTTTGCGTCCACCAGACTCACAGGCATCACCAGTGGCACAGCTAGCAGCTGAAGGGGCTCAGGCGCTCAAGCCTCAGACACCTCGGACACCTCAGACCGGCTTCTCATGGCTTGCTGCCGTTCGATGCTGCTTGGTGGATGTTGGTGGGCAGCAGTGGTTGGGACCAGCCAGGTTGCAACATGGAGCCCAGTACATAAGCAGAGGATCTGAGTAGGCCCGCCTGATGAGTAGCTTTATGTCGGGCTTAGGTCCTCTGATGTCCATCTGAACACAGTGGCTGGAGCGCTGACCGATTTGCTGAAGAGTGTGACTCTCAGACGTGGAGCAACGCAGAACAGATTGGAGTTTTTGTGCTGCTTCTATTGCTTTGCAATGCTTTGCAACGATGGTCCTACCAAACCTTGTCGAGGAACAAGTGGAGCCAAGATGTGCGCGTGCACACACACACACACATACACACTGCCTGTCTGTTTGAATCCTTCATTCAGCACAACCGTGAGGCGACCAGGGTGCTTCCGGCTCTCTGTCTGCCATCGCCCAGGCTCAGCTTGTTTGCTTGCTTCTTCCGTGTTTGTTTGCTTGCTTGTTTGCTTGCTTGTTGGTTTGTGTGGTGTGTATGTGGGTAGGTTCACGGTTCTGGCGAAATATGAACTGGAGGCGTCCAATACATCAGCAATCGTAGCGACCATCACAGACTTGCTGAACGGCACCATGAAAGGCTGGCTGCATCTGCATACTGGAATTGAGGCATGTCTGGAACGGACCTATAGATGTCAGGACGGCTGTACACGGCGCATAAGAACAGCCTCCTGCTCAGTACTGTGGTGGGACAATCGCCTCAGAAAGTGGGTCAGTCTACCTACGATTTCTGTACATCAACTAGGGAGAATCGATTTGCAACGCCGATTGCAAGCGAACGGCATCCACCAGAGCCCTAGAAAGGGCCTGGAGTACGAGATCTCTGTTAGGGAATTGGGGGTGGCAGCACAGCTATGCAAAAAGCTAGTAGAATCACAGCTGCCTGAAACACAATCCGAGGAAAAGCACACGAAGAATGTTCTGGACCTTTTTTTTTTAGCGCCCCGCTTGCCCTCCTTGGTCTGGATCTTCACCTTCTCGCTGTTGATCGTGTCGTATACCTCAACAGTCAAGATGGAGCACCGACTCTTTCTGGATGTTGTAGTCTGAGAATGCCCGTCCTTCCTGAAACGACTTGCTTGTATTGTTGACGCTTCGCATTTTTTGCCCGGCTCAAAATGCTGGAGTGGATTCCTATCTGGATAAGGGTTGCCGAAGGTTATCAACTTGACGGGGGCACCCAGAAGGATTTTTTTCCCATTTCCGTTCACCTTTATTGGTCTTTGCCTGCAAAGGGCATGGGGTGAGGCGATTTGGCCAGCAGCGAATGCTGCAAGAAGGCATGTATCTTGCTATTTTCCAGCTCTTGGCGCTATTCACATCCGAGTCCTGATTTACTCTTACAAGCTTCATCACCCAAAGCAGCTCCGGCCTTACAAAAGCGTTGCTATAACATTTTAAGCTCCGCTTGCAATGTCAGTAGTTCAGCACCGACAAGTTACGACATGAGAAACAGGTGCCCCTGAAACTTCAATATTTTTGTTCTACGCTTGCCACTCGAAGCATCCACATGGTTATCGGTAGTTGTTGGACTTGAGAAGATCATACAGTGCGAACCATCCTACGTCTATTGTGCTTTTTTTACCTTGTTTGTATAAGGCATGGCAGCCATTGCGGATTCGAAGAAGCTGTTTGCAGACTGCCGCAGTGCGTATGAGGCGGTGCATGCGGTGCAAAGTTTTGGATTGGACGTTAGGGTCTTCAGGCAGACCCGAAAAAGATTGAACACACCCTTGCAACGGATGTTTTCTGACCCCGCCTTCTGAGTTGCAATGTGGATGTAGCTGTCACACGGCAGGGTGCAGTAAACTGAGTCTTTGTCAGCCAGAAACATCGCTTGGTCAGGCTGCTGATCATGTCCGCTTTCCTCCAGCCTCCCTCTTGCAGACCGTCAACGCGACGCCATGGTACGAGGCAGCATGCAGAGAACCAGTTTCGTTTCTGATGCTTATAGGACATGGTGGCACCGTCCGGCTCTGCCTAACATGCAAAACAGAAGTTCAACAGGGCTATAGCAGTGTCGCTAACCCAAAGATACGGATGCTGTGCTTTCTGCAGGAGTTCTTCCAGGCTTACAGCCAGTGCAAGCTTTGGGAGGCCCAGATTGGAAAAGACATGAATCTCGGCTCAGATGTGGGCTGCCGTCACACGCAATCACAGAGCTTACGTAGGGTGGTTTGCCCTGAGGGCGCCTTAGGCCGCCAGCCCAAAGTTAAAGAAACAGCTCGTTCCTCTCTGGGAGTGGCGAAGACAAGGACGGCCTGTGATTACCACTGCACCTCGGAGGCGGGGGTGCCATGTAATTATGTAATGTAATGTTTATTGATGCAACGTAGATCAATCTGCTGTGCCGGAGGGAGATTGTGGTGGAGAAGCTTCTGGTATGATAGAATTTTCTTGCGGCATCTTGAGACAGACTAACCCTGGATTTTTTCAGCCGAGCATTTGTGCCAGGTACTGCAATCGCAACTGGTTGAGATTGTCGCACTAGTTTCAGTCTAACTTATACCGGCAATAGCAACAGCTTCGCCCCTTCTTCTGGCAGTTGGGGCAGCGGTCTGTGTTTTGACTAGCATGAAGGTCAAGGTTGTGGGGGAGGACTGCACCTTCTTGGGTGACCAATGTGGTCCTCTCGACTGCCACCTCCTCGGCTGCTCCTGAGGGCATGGATGACTCGTCCCAAGCTCCAAAGATAGTTAGTTGTTAGTCAGCTCCAGTTGTGCACCTCAAGGTCCGTCTAGGCACTAGTCATGCCGTTTTCATGCATGGTATATTTGTGGACACGAATGTTTGCAGTTCGCGCCCCGGCGCAGAAGCTCAAAGTCGTCACGCTCTCTACTCGAGCCGCTAAAACACGATCTTTGCCTTCGGGGTCTAGAGGGTTAACAGAAACTAGTTCCGATGCAAGTCGAAGAGAGTTGCAGAAAGGTGCACCGGTCACCGGCGAAGGCTACAAGTCCTTTCTGGAACGGATGATCAAGGACATGTTCGGCTTTTGGACGCCATTCTGCCATTTTATACCTCTCAGTTGCCCACTTTCCTTTGGATTGAGAGAGAGAGAGAGAGAGAGAGAGAGCTCAAGCCGCGAGTGCTCAAGGAGGCACCCCCGGCGACCGAGCCTCCTCAACTACAAAGAGGGAGAGAGATAGAGAGCTGAGAAGCGGGACAGAAAGCCTGAGGGACGCACCCTGTGCAGCCATCGCCCTGGAGTACCAGTCCGAAACACTACGCGAGGACATCGCGGGGGCTCTCGCCTACCTGACCGTCGAGGACGGTGAACGGGGGCAACCGCTGCTGTGGGGCGAGCGGGGGAATCTGTGAACAGCTACCTGAACGAGAGAGCGAGCCTACAGGGGGCTACCACGTCTACCCGATTCACCGGAAGAAGGGGCTCGCCAGGGACAACCTGTATGTCGAGATCGTGACTGTGGCAGGGACATGGAGAATGCAATCGCCGTTCGTGGAACAGGGGGGCCCGGCAGCTCGCCCGGTAAGCGCAAAGCAGGGGGGGCTGAAGGGCGAAGCGAAGGAGAAGAGGTCCAAGTGGTGGAGGAAGACGCAGGGGCAATCACGTTGGCGAGTATCAAAGAAGCGTTCAAAAGCGAACTCAACCAGAACAGCGAGCGCATCCAGCAGGGGCTGAAGCATGAGATTAAGCAGGAAATTCAGCATGCGGTTGGAGGAGTTCAGAAGGACGTTGTCGTCCGCATACAAACAGTGGAAACGGAGGTGACAAAACAGCTCAAGACGACGCTCCTCATGCTGGAGAGCCTGACGGACAAGCAACTACGGCACTCGGAAGAGCTCAATGCGATCAAGACGGGTCAGGCGGAGCTGGAGGAGAAGTTCTCCATGGAGACCAAGGCGCTGGGGGACCGGCTGGAAGCGATGGAGGTGAAGCGCAAATGGGGAGGGGGGGGGGGGTCGGCGCAAAGCACGTCGACAGGCGACTACGACTCTGCGGGGGCCCCAAAGCAACCTGCGCTTATACTCGGAGGTTGGGAGGGGGAGACCTGGACCAGATGTTCGTGCCCGGAGTGCCCAGAGGGTTTGCGCTTATCTCCCTGGCGGGGGCCAGGAGCCAGGAAACAGTGGAGGGCTACAGGCGCAGAATCCAGGACGCTATTGCCAAAGTACGCCAAGCCAAAATTCAGCTGGGGGCCAAGTCGGACGCGGAAGGAGGGGGCTGGCGCTACCTCTTCCTGGCGATGAGCCAGCCGCCGGAGAGGCGTCGGCGGGCTCGCCTTGCCGCCAAGCTGGAACTTGAAAGGGCACAAGCCACAGATCGAAGCCGAGTTCGCCACTGGGACCGTCTGGGTGGGCGGACACCCGTGCAATGGCGAGAGGGCTGGGAAGGGAGCACGAGGAGGTAGCGCAGCAACTGGGGGGGGCTCAAAGGGGCCGTCCAGTGAAAACAGCACAAACGTGGCAAAAAGTCTCGGGCGAGCCTGCGCACGCACTGACAGGGCTCACCTGGAATGTTGGGGGGGCTGGGGCCCAAAGGGCACTCGACATCCTCCAAGCACTCGGGGGCGAGCCGAATTCACCACCAACCTTCAACGTGGCGATGCTGCAAGAAATAATTTGCGAGCATGGAGTTCACGAGCTGCACAGTCCGGCGTGGACAATTGTTTACGGGAAGAAAGATGGGGAATGGCGAGGGGAAGGGGTGGCATATCTCAAGCGCACTTTGGCCACATCTCCCCCACATTGCACACGGGGGCTGTTGCACTCACACTCGCGCGCACAAGGGGGGGGGGGACGCACGGGGGTCATTGCTGCACACCTTCCCCAGGCGAGGGCCATCCTTGCAGAATGGGCGGACAGCCAACGCCTTAAGCGTGACCGTTGCATGATGGGGGCGGATCTGAACGAATCCTTCCAAGACGTGATGTTCGTCGGGGTCACGGCGTGCACGAGTCGAGGGGAAGAAATCCTGGAGTGGATCCACGAACAGCAACTATACATCCCTGACCAAAAGCTGCATGTGCCCTCGTACCACCCCTACAACACCAGAATGGCTTCGAGGAGGCTGGACTATGTCATCCTGAGAGGCATGGATGGGGGGAAGAGTGGCGCAGTCATCGAGGGATCGAAGGACATCGCTATGTCTGACCACGACGCCGTCGAGCTAGCCACGACTACACCATCACCAAAAGACCAAAGCACAGAGGGGGCCAAGGGTGCTCAGATCAGAAGAGCAAGTTGCGCAGGAAATGGAGCGGCCCCTGTCCAAGGGGGACCCCCGCACGACCCTTGCTGATGTTGCCCGGCGCATCACAACCCCAGCACCCGATCCAGGCGAGCCATGGAAAGAAAGTGACCGCCTCAAAAGAATGCGCGAGCTGGCGCGCCGGTCCCCGCCAGGGGGCAGAAGGCAGGCCTGGAAGGAGGTTTGGCAACTACATCGGCGAGAGCGTAGAGCCTGGATGAAGCGGAAAGTGGATGCTGCCGCCAGGGGATGCTGGGGAGAGCTCAGGTCCTTAACGTCCTTAACATCCATGAGACAGCACCGGCAATGGGACGGAGTTCTACTAGCAGAACCGGGGTGGGCCAACAATCTCCGGGAGCACTTCGAAGGCATCTTCGCCAGGGTGCCCGCAAGTCAAGAAGCGATGAACAAGATGAGAGAGAAGCTGAGGGGCCTCTGCAAGCAAACGCCGTGGAAACCTTTTACGGATGAGGAGTTGGAGGCCACAGCGGCCACATGGGGGCGGCGAAAGGCCACAGGAACGGATGGAGTAGCGTTGGAGGCCCTCCAAACCCTGCGACAGCATGACAATGGAAGGGGCGGTTGCAGTAGCTACTGAACGACTTCCTGTACATAGGAAAGCTCAGGGGGGGCATAGGGGATGGCGTCACGGTGCTACTCCCCAAAACACGCACACCTCTGGAATGGGGGGACGCGCGGCCAATCACACTTTCCACGACCACCCTTAAATGGATGTCACAATTGTTGCTGCACAGGGGGGCCCGGCACCTCGACCCACTCACCGAACTGGAAAGGCAAACAGGCAGAAGAGGTCCTACTCCTCCTGCGGAAGCTCATGCGGACGGCTGAAGATTGGCGCATCCAGTATTGGGTGGTCAAACTGGACATACGCAAAGCCTTCGACAGTGTGCTACAAGAATCCCTGAAAACCATGGTGGGGCATTGGGTGGGAGAAAAGGGGGGCGTGCCGTGGGAGCCATGCCTGGCTCAGCCTGCTCCAAGCACAGCAGGTCAGTGTGGCGGCGGGGGGGTCGGTGGTCGACATTCCGCAAACCACGGGCGTCAGGCAAGGAGCGCCGGACTCACCCGTATTGTTTTCGGCCCTCATCGGGAGAGCGCTGCAACGATGTCTCCCGTGCACAGACACATCCCAGGCTCAGTCAGACAACCCCCCCTGCCCGACAGCAGGGGGGCCTTCATGGATGACACCTACCTCTGGGACGACTGCCCCCAGAGGCTGCAACGACACATCACCGCATTCGCGGGGCAACTCAAAAGAGACGGCCTGGAAATACACGGCAAAAAAGTGGCAATCCTCACCAATGGGGAGGAAACACGCAAGTTCCAGGTGGGGGGGGGGCCTGGATCAAACCCGGGGGGCCAGATGACTCCTTCCCCGTGCTGGGATCCCCAGTCGCATTCAGGGGGCTGGCGAACAAGTTGGGGGGGAGATGGCGGCGCGAGCGAGACGAGCCTTCTGGGCCAGAAAAGAAGAGTTCACGGGAGAAGCGCCGCTTAAGCCAAAGCTGGCCCTGCAACTCATATATGTGAGCAACGCGTGCTTCAAAGCCTGTGAATCTTGCTGAAACCCGTCGTGTCAGCATTGTGTTTGCAACGGGGGGGGGGGGCTGCGCCACCCCCCCCTTGCGTGCTGCAAAGCCTAAAAAACTTGTTGAAACCCATCATGTGAGCATTTTGTTTGCAAATTGAGGGGGGGCTGCGCCCCCCCCAACCCCCCCGTTTTTTTAAAGCCGTGCAATGCGTGCTTCAGTTCTTATGCCTGTAAGATCCTTTGCGTGTAATTTTACACGTTCGCGAAATTTACACGCAAAAAACAGTGTAATTAATTTACACTCCAAAAAAACGTGTAAAAAATTTACACGTTTTCGTGTAAATTTGGGAGTGTAAATTTTGAGTAAAATTTGTCCTATGATGTTAAATGGGCCAAGATGTGCCGAAAAGGTGTTGTGAAAACCAGGCACCGGGAAGTGCGAAGTGTCGAAAAAGTAGTGTTGATTCCGAAGGCCGGACAGGCCGAAGTGGCGATAGGGTCGTAGATTCCGAGAGCTAGATTTGCCGACAGAGACAAAATGTACAGTTGTGAGTCTCGCAAGGCCGACCAAGCCGAAGTGCCCACGAGCATGGCTTGTCTTGTTCTGGTGAAAAAACAAACGAAAAAAAGAGAAAGAGAAAGAGCCAGAGAGCGAGAGAGCGAGGTATCGGGCAGGGCTAGGGTTCCCCTTTGTCGTTTCGTGTGACACCGAGTTATAGGGCAGGGGTATATATATAGGTCTTTCGCACTTGGCAGGATGCATTTTTATTATATATCCTAAACCACAGGAGCTCCTGAAATCAATTCGTGCTTGTGACTTGTGAATGATTTTGTCTGAGACAGTATCACCTACCCCCCGCCATACATCACTGCAGGGCCACTGGCCTGCGGCTTGTGAGGGAGCACAAGACCTGCACCACTTAACTCCACTGGCAGATCGGGATACAGTTCCAGCCGGTAGCATTCGACCTTCTCTTCGTGCTGTGTTGACTGACACAGCTTGAGAGGCAGAGTGCCGGAAATCAGTACCAGGTCCCCTTATGCAGGCTTTCCGGGGGCGATGGCCGGAAAGTGATTGTGGAGAAAGGTGCACACCCTTCAGGCATGGCGGATCCACCCTGGCCGAGTGGAGGTGAGACTTACACTGGTGTTTGCAAAGACCCCGTGGAGGCCACATCTAAACCCCCCGGGGTAGGCATTGTGGGAGGCCACTTGAT